AGAAAATCCCTTTATTCTCCTACAGTGGGGGAAAATGTGGTTTTTAGAGCAGCAAAAATATTAGAGAAAATAATGGTTACACAAACGTGGACCGAAGAAAAGTGTAGAAGAATAACATAATAATGAAGAGTTAAAAAATAAATGAAATGCGGTACTCTGAAGGGTTTTAACAAAAAAAAAACCTGTGCATCTACAGAATAAATAACCGATATACAGCTATGGACATTTTTACAGTAATGAATATTTGAAAAATAGCAGCAACATCAGAGATGTGCAAAATGACAGCAGCAGGTTATTTAACTGACTAAGGTGGAAACTGTGCAAAACCAGCATGAATGTAACAACTTATTGAGGTTGTTGGGAACAGTGGTGGTTATAAAGTGTTACAGCTGCTGGGAGGAAGGATCTGTGATAATGCTCCCTGGTGCATTTAAGGTGCAGCAGGCTGGCACTGAAGGAGCTCTCCAGTTCAGCACCAGCTTCATGCATGGGGTGCATGATCTATTTGCAATACTACTTGGCCTATTTGGAAGAAACTAAATGTTCATTCTTATCATGAACAAGATTTACAGAGAGAAATGACTTGCAGCTCTAACTGTAGTGAAGGTTTATCTTTACTGAACTATTCACATGTACATCCAAACCTTGTAGCCTTGATATTGATAAAAACTTTAAAATTCCAAACAAAATTTTCCTTTTACTTCACAGTTATTTACTATTACGTTATACAATTTGAGAAAGGGTCTGTCATTTTACTAGGTGCTGTATTCTGTGTAATATCATCTTAGAAATCTCCTCGCCTGCCTGTAAACAATGACTAGAGCCAAAAAAGATTATGTGAGATGAGTCCAACTCCAGCTAAGGCTTTAGGGAGGGGGTGATGTTACTGTCCAGCAGAAAGTGGATCATGGGAACGTGACACCTGATGTGCTGACTGCAGGACACAAACTCTGGACCACCAGCAGCTGCCATGAGCTGAAACTCAAGGCAGAGGGCCACATTCCCAAGCGGTTGGAAAGTGACCCAGATAGGCTTCCACCCCCGAACCCTGAGGGGCATCAACTGGACCCTCTGTCTCAGAAAAGCTGAAAACTATCTGCTGCGAATATGAGCTGGTTCAGCTTCTCAGATAATAGACTGAGCTGGCTAATTTAATAATAAATACAATACTTTATTTTAACATCACTTTTCGGCTGCAGACTACCTCTTTATTATGTTTAATATCTTAGAAGCCTTTTGATGGAATAAATGTATCTCTTGTGGTTGGAATGTAGTGCTTTCCTGTCCATGTATGTGCTCAGTGCAGATTTACTGCTCTTGGCTGAGGTCCTATCATTCGCTCTGGAATCCCCTCCAACAGTCTGTAGCGCTAACGTGGACATAAGTCCTGGTGTCTGACGACAAAGATGAAATGTCAGTCGGTGCTGCAGATCTATGTCAGAATGTTTGCTATGGGCTCTCCCATGAGAGCTGGGCTTCAACTCTTTGGTTCCAAATGGACTAAAATTATCTTATGTCAGGTTTTCCCAAACATTGACTGATACTAATTGGATGCAATTTACTTCAAATGTAAACAGACTCATATCAAGATTATTCAGTAAACAGAATCTAAAAGGAACTTTGGATAAACAAAATGCTCTACAGCTACAGTGCTTTGCAAGAGTTCATAATAGGGATGCACGATATTGGGATTTTGGCCGATATCCGATATGCCGATATTTTAAAACTCATGTAGCCGATAACCGATATCGATACCGATGTTAAAGCTGGACAAAAATAAGTAGTCATTGAAAATAGCAGTTTTGTTATCCATTTCTGACACTTTGAAAAATAATATACTCAAATATATTTTCATATGCTGATATCAAATTGATTTTTAAAAACGCGGTATCGATCTATTTTACTTTCAAAATCTCGTGAAATTTCATCGTTCTGTTACAAACTCGTGATATTTTGCAAATTCTTGTGCGATTTTGTTAGTAAAATAGATCGATACCGCGTCACTATATCAACATAAAAAAATATGGCAAAATTTTGTGAATTTTCGGGGGATTTCGTAGCATAACGATGACATATAGCAATATTTCATTAGTAAAAGAGATTGATATGGTGTTTTTAAATGGCAATATATCAGCATATGAAGATATTGGGTTATTTTAATGTATCAATATTTTTTCCCTCGTCTTTAGAAGTTTTTAAGTCTGTAAAAAAGATGTTTTTGAGGAAGAAGAAGAAGCTGATCAAATATCGGGTTAAATATCGGTGGGGTGGCCGATGTCTGATATTCAGTTTTAAGGCCGATACCGATAGGGGGCCGATTATATCGTGCATCCCTAGTTCATAAATTTTGCAATATTCAGCAATTTTACGAACAGAATGGAAACATGTATCTGCACTGTTTTTTGTGTCAAGATACGAAAGACTGATCATGAAAAATTAGCCCAAAATTTAACAAAGCTTTTACCTCAGGGGGCTGATTTAAAATACTATATATTACCCATCTAAATAGCTGGAATCAGGTGTTCCAATCATTTCATTTTCATGGTCACAGGTGTATAAAATCAAGCACCTAGGCATGCAGAGTGTTGCTGCAAACATTTTAGAATGAATAGGTTGCTCTTAGGTGGTCATTGAATTCCAGTGTGAGACTGGAATTGGATGGCCGTAACATCAGAAAATGGAAGTGTTTGGAAACAACGGTAACTCAGCCAGGAAGTGGTAGGCCCCTTAAACTGCTGGAGTGAGGTCAGAGGATGCTGAAGCACAGAGTCCAAAAAGATTGCAAACAATCTTCGGTGTGATTTTGAACAACGTCCCAAACTTTATGACAACAGTTTGAATCTGGCCCCTTCCTCTGCCAACATGGCTGTGCACCAGAGCACAAAGCAAGGTCCATAAAGGCATGAGCTATGTCTGAAGCTCCGCCCTAACCCATAAACCCATCAATCACTATATAGAGTGGAGACTATATAGTGGAATTTATAGTGAACTCAGTTAACCTATCGTTCTGACAGATGATCACTGCTTTTCGCACCCTATTGGTCACATGGCTCCACCTCCTCTCACGCTACCTGCGCCATCTTTGTTATTAGTCGGCAAATCCCATAATGCTTTGTGAGACAAGCTCTCGAAAAGCAAACTGGGATATATCTGCTCGTCTGTTAACCAATCCATGATCACTACTTTTCAAGGTGCATTTTGGGAAATTTCAAGTCCTCTGCTTTTTCATCCAGTAGACCAGGGGTAACTGATTAAAAATCAGCAGTGTCCAAATAAAGAAAATCAACACCAGCTGTGGTCCGGAGAGATTTTTAATTTAAAATGTTACTTTAAACAGAATTTAACACTGAAATAAAATGAGCTGTTTATGTATCCTTATTATACATGGACTTTATTACATACAATCCAGGTTTTGAATAAAGCAGCAGCATTTAACTTAAAGGGATACGCACTGAGACAAAGCACCTCTAGATATATATCTGGTATCTAAACTCTCTATTTGTTTTTGCCCTTGAGAGCTGAAGTGTTGGTTCTGAACAGACAAGTGTTTGGAGCACCAACCTCTGCTTAGTGTAGAGGAACAGGGAGAAGATGTTGATGGGGGCTATCTGAGTTTAACATGTTCTAATCTCCTCTCATGTTGGTGTGAAGTGGATCTGATAAAGTGTTTCCGGTTGGGGAGGTTTCATTGTTTAAGATGTAGAGTTGTCATTTTACACATAGAGATTTTTTTAACAGTATTTATGATGCTTTCTACGGAAGAGGATTAGGGCCACTGAAAAAAAAAAGTTTACTGATTTTAAAATTTTATTTCAATTTAGTATGGGGAAAAAAGTCAGAATTCTGACTTTTTTCTCAGAGTTCTGACTTTAATCTCAGAATTCTAACTTTTTTTCTCAGAATTCTGACTTTTTTCTCAGAATTTTGACTTTAATTTCAGAATTTTGGATTTTAATGTAGATGGGCACCATGAAGGAAGAGATGTGGGAGCACTCAGCTTCACTGACAAATATGTGAGTTGTTTGAGGGCCAGTGACACATTGGTGGAAAATGACGGAATTAGGCAACTTTTTACGTGCCCGAGGGGTCCCCTTATTAATGGAGGAGCAGAAGGTCATTAAAACAAGAGAGCTAGTCTCTAAAACAGACATGGCTATGGCTTGATGCTAACATGTTTGTTAGCTGTCAGGATTCTGAGATTAAAGTCAGAATTCTGAGAAAAAAGTCAGAATTCTGCGATTAAAGTCAGAATTCTGAGAAAAAAAAGTTAGAATTCTGAGATTAAAGTCAGAATTATGAGAAAAAAATTAGAATTCTGAGATTAAAGTCAGAATTCTGAGAAAAAAGTTAGAATTCTGAGATTAAAGTCAGATTAAAGTCAGAATTCTGAGATTAAAGTCAGAATTCTGAGAAAAAAGTCAGAATTCAAGTCAGAATTCTGAGATTAAAGTCAGAATTCTGAAAAAAAAAGTTAGAATTCTGAGATTAAAGTCAGAACTCTGAGATTAAAGTCAGAATTCTGAGAAAAAAGTTAGAATTCTGAGATAAAGTCAGAACTCTGAGATTAAAGTCAGAATTCTGAGAAAAAAGTCAGAATTTTGAGATAAAGTCAGAATTCTGACTTTTCCCCCCATACTAAACTGAAATAAAATTTAAAAATCAGTTAACCTTTTTTATTATTTTTTTCAGTGGCCCTAATCCTTCTCCGTAGTTTTCTTTACTAACTTGCAATAGAAATGCTTTATGAATACAATTAAAATACCTTTATTTTTTCTAACATGCAGAGCAAAAACACTGCAAACAATCCTAGAAAGCAAGTAGTTCCCTTTGGTTACCAGGACAGCCAAACAATGAGCCACTGGTCACATTTACAGTAGCTCGGTATCCACAGCAACCCCGTAATTACGCACAGTTAGTAAATATTAGAAATCCCTGCCCACGGTCCAGGAGGTCACTCTGTGACGCAGCTACGCACGCGAGGCGTTGTTCTTCCATAATGAGACACTTTATAACAGGACGTCAGCGCTGGGATCAATCTAGTTAGAGGAGGACTTTACAGGAAGGAGGAGATCCGCTGTTGGACTCTATCAGGAGGAAAACTTGCATCGCTTCTTGCTTTTTGCTTCTTTTCTGGGATACGAGCCTCTCGCCTGTAAGTTAACTATATTCACTTTCCTCTAAACTCCTGATGAACGCTTAGATTCAGGCGGAAACGCGCTTTGGTGTTTGCTGGAGCGCGCACGGACTGGACCGAGCTGGAACCGGAAAGATTAATTTGATAGTTAAAACATTTTGGTTCTTCTACCTCCCCAGATTAATCCCCATTAATGCAAATATTCCAGTTTTGCTCAATATTAGATCCATTCAACTGTTTTAAAATGCAACAATTTTATTAGAAAAAGAAGAAAAAAATCAGATATATTCAATTTAAAGTAATTTTTTAATCGTTTAGAGGAGCTTTAATGTTTAAGATGTTAGTGAAATTGGTGGTTAGATGGCTCAGGGCGAGATACAGTTTTTACCCACATTAGTGTAGTAATTCAATTTATCTTTAAAGTGAGGTAAAAGTTTCTCCTCTATCTGCAAATGCTTCAGACACACCCAGAAGGTTAAAATCTCCACACAACCAGCTCTTCCAGCCTAAAAGACTTGATGCTATTTTCTCTATCCTCAGATAATCTGAGAAGATGCTGATCCTGCTGCTGGGAATCGTCTTCCTGCACATTGCTGCTCTTGTTCTCCTGTTTGTCTCAACAATCGTCAGTGTGAGTAAACCTGCAGCTGCTGAGATTATCTAAAGAAATGCAGCATCACAGAATTGGTCTAATCATTTTAAAAGCCATTTGTGATTTGCCTCAAAGGATGAAACTGGGCACCCATTTTAACACAACAGTTTGGAAATAGAAAAGTTCTGTCTACAAAGAAACATTTGGTATTTGCTCTGTGAATTTATATCAACCTGGTGGACATCTAGTCTAGTAGTTATTCTAATGTTACTCTAATAAATAATTATTACCAGCAGGAGGTCACTGGGAGTTGATTTGGGTTCATAATCTGTGACCATAATCAGATCGTTAACAGACTCAAAGGGATAAAACAATTTTTATCAGTCTGCTTTTTAGTTTATATTAACATTTTTATCTTCAGTTTCCTTAAAAAAACTGTAAAAAATTTTTAATTGTTTAAGTAAATGGGTAAAAATGTGAGTTGAAATGTGAGTAAATTATTTTTTTTGAAGCTTCAGGTTAGTTCTGTATGCACTTAATCATACATAGAAATTAACATTTTAATACCCAGGTGTGCTGTTTTATTTGCTTTATATTTTCCTGCATTATGTAGATAAATCTCCATAAAATAAATATTTACTTAATTAAATCCATTCTATTTTCTAAGGACTTTCTTCTGACCCTTATTTCGACCAGTTGATTCTTATTCCATATGTGGGATTATAAGCCCTGTTTGACACAACATGACTGTTAACTCAAGAACTGTTGAAGAAAAACAGGAGGATTTTTAAATTGTTGTTTTAGAAAATGCAAAAATCAACTTCAATGGTACCAAGTGAGTTATAATTCATGTAATCTGTTCACTTAAGCTTTGTACCCAGAAAACTGCAGCTTTCATTATTGTTTCTTTTGTCTTTTAGTGTACCATGTTTAAAAGCTAACTGATGTGACACCCTTGGTATGGAAATTATTCACATATTATCCTACTGCAGGTATGGACAACAGCAGAAGATGGCACCGCAGACCTCTGGAAAAACTGTACGTTGGACGCTATGGGATACGTCTGCAGCGGAGCATCAACTGGAGGTCGGACAGCTGCATGTTTCTCTACATTTAGCCGCCAAGTTCTGTATCTGCATGTTTTTCATGGTTTAAAATCTTTGGTGAGGTGAGAGGAACTTCTGTCCTACTGCAGAGGTGGGTGTGTCGTAGCGCCTCTGTGACTCTGGTGCCATCTAGGGTAGAGAATGCTGCAGTGCCGCTTGCAGATTGGCTCCCGTTGTATAAATAGTCATGGTGTGATTCTATAATAAGGCCTCATGTTGGAGAGTACTTAGTGACAAGCGTGCAGCGAGCTGTGAATGACCTGGGTGGGGCTGGAGAGAGTATCCAAAGTTGTCCATGACGGGGTGGTTGGATTTGTGTGTGTGTGGGGAGGGGGCCACAGGACATGGCATGTTGAGGGGGGGGGTGTGCCAATAGTCAGATCAGTGTGTCCAGAGTTGGTTTGCAGAGATCATACTGTAAAAGAAACATCAGACAGCAGCTACAGCAGGAGAGATTTATGCACAGAGACTCCAGCTGGAGATTAAAGATAAATAGATTTTATTTCAAACAAATTATGTCATAAGAACTTTTGCAGACACAAACGTATTGAGGTAACTAAGTTTTTCTCACATGGGTGCAGCTGCTGCAGCCGGCCGCTGATGTCAGTCGTCTAGAATGAACCCTCTAAGCCAGCAGTGCTTGAACACTCCAGTGTGTAGTTTAACGCGGCATAATGTTTGTTTTACTTGCTTTTATTGCTGCAGGGATGCATGGTGTTTATTCAGGAAGGAATGAGCGTGTGTGTTGTTCCTGGGTTTCAGAATCAGAAATGCTGGAAAAAATCAGAATTTTTCTTAAAACAAGTGCAGGAGGTAAAAGAAATATTTTGCCAATGGAACAAGACAATTTACACTTAAAATAAGGAAGCACAATTGCATTGTCTTATTTCAAGTGCATATTGTCTAATTATCTCATTTTTAGAGTAAAAATACTCATTCCATTGGCAAACCATCTCATTTACCTACTTAAATTAAGGGTATATACACTTAACTTAAGATATTTTTTTACTTGTTTCTAGATAATTTTTCCAGTGTAATAATCCCAGAGGGAAATTCCTTTTTGTTACACTGGAAAAACGATCTAGAAATAAGTTAAAATTTCCTAAATTAAGTGTATTTACCCTTAATTTTAGTAGGTAAATTAGATACTTTGCCAGTGGAATGATTATTTTTACTCTTAAAATTAGATAATTAGATAACGTGCACTTGAAATAAGACAATGCAATTGTGTTTCCTTATTTTAAGTGGAAGTTGTCTTGTTCCATTGGCAAAATGTCCCTTTTTCCTCCTCAATTCAAGAATAAATGCACTTATTTTAAGAAAAAATTACTTATCTAGATTTAAATTTTCTCCAGTGTACACGCTCCAGCTACAGTTTTTTTTTATATATATATATATATATATATATATATATATATATATATATCTGTATATACACTGGAAAAAAAACACAATCTAGTTAAGTAATTTTTTCTTAAAATAAGTGCATGTGTTCTTGGATTAAGAAGGTAAAAGAGACATTTTGCCAATGGAACAAGACAATTTACACTTAAAATAAGAAAACACAATTGCATTGTCTTATTTCAAGTGCATATTATCTAATGATCTTATTTTAAGAGTAAAAATACTAATTTCATTGGCAAACTTTCTCAATTACCTACTCGAATTAAGGATAAATGCACTAAATTTAAGAAATTTTTACTTATTTCTAGATGGTTTTTCTAGTGTATGTATGTACGTATATCTATGCATATGTAAAAACTAACTTCAAATAAAGTGAATATCCAACTAAAGTGATAAATCCAAGTAAAGTGATACGTGGCGTGCCAAAAAAAGTGCATAAATGTCAATTACAGGGGGGATTTGCTTTTCTGGCAGCTTTTGGCTGTGGAAGATGCCGCTTCTGCAGCTCTGATGAGCAACCCGAGTCAGACAGAAAGAAGATGGTGAATCATAACCACCACCATCTTCATCACATTCTTTGCAGTTTCCTCTAACTTAAGGGGAACTTTCTTTGTTATCAAGGTAACAAAATGATCAGAGTTGCACACAGTTGTCACATTAGGGGTTAGTTGCACATCTAAACAGGCGGGAGAATTGCTTCATTCAGTTTACATGATCTAAAATTAGCCGGTGAGGAAGAATCTCCGTTACCCTCTGAAAACAGTCGGATAAAAAAAAAAAAGCATGTCTGGATAAAAAGACAAACCACAGCCACCTTCCTGTTTGAAACTCAGTGAAATTTGGCAGAAGGATTCGGGTTTTCCTGCCAACCAGGAAATGCTCGATGTTCCTTTTTCCTCCTAGAAAAGAAACCTAAAGAAGAGCAGAGGTATGTGTTCCTCAGAAGAAGTGCTAATTATTAATGCCCTGCTGTCCTTATCACAGAGTCAGCCATCACATTTAAAAACATAAGAACCGCGTCTTTCTCCTGGTGTTGGAGATTTGAAGGGTTTCATGTTTCCTTCCAATTTTCACTCCAAAACAGCTGCTGCAGAGCTCCAGATGTTACAGACTCTAAAAGCGCATTTCACTTGCCCTCCTGTTTGCTCTTGACTGGCATTAATGAATAATGCATTGTCTGTTTATCCATAGCTTTAAGTGCTCCCCCATTAAAACAACCCATCTGTGGAATTACCTGAATATTTTGAACAAAGAGACAAAGTAGGTATGAGAACCAAGCTTAATGGAAGGATAAGGAAGCATGATGACAAAGAAAACTATTTGTTTTTCTTCATTTAACATGTGCTTCATGAGGAAGGACAACGCCACAAAAATGGGAATTATAAAATGTGTTGTAAGAAAGTGATGTAGGGATGAAGGTTGAACTTGGTTGCAAAATCTGGGGAAAAAAAATGAATTCAGTTCCATTTCTGTTCCTGAGCCAGAATAGGAGGCCCCAGAATGAAGCCGCAACAAAGAAGAGAGAAAAGTTATGTGATGGAGGGAAAGATAAAAGGAGATTATGATGGAATGAAAGAGTGGAAGGGAGGGGAAGGTGGATGAAAAGGGGAAGAAGCGATGGAATGAAGAGGGACTAGGGGAAAAGGGTAGAGGTTAAGGGGGGGTGGGGTTAATGAAACGCAACAGACTGAAAATAATGGAAGAGTAGAGTAAAAATAGTCTGCTTGAGAAACTGGAGGAGTAATTTTGGGCGTGGTCCTGCTCCCAAACATATTAACTTCATATTATGGCATCGTATTTCACCTTGCTGCTCTCCTGCTCTCAGATGACATGTCTAACAAGCTGGAGAATAATCTGTGTATGAATGAAATATAAAATCCCTTTAATCTCCATCAGTGGGATTTATTGTATCTATCCTGCAATGCACTATAGATATAGGTGTATAGAGATGCCGTCGTAGATTCCAACTCTAATTTTAAAACAATGTTACCGTAACAGGAGAGGCATAATGGATCCGTTTCCATACCAGGATTGTCTGTGGGGGTTTTTTATGACCAGAAACATTTCTGAATAGAGAAACAGATCAGCTTACTTTTACTGGCTGTTTTCATTTTTATTTATTGTTTATTTGAAAGGGGACAGTGTACATTAATCAACATTAAAACAATGTAAATATACCCGAGTTAGCTAAGGAGTGCTAATTTTCATCGGTAGTCCCCCAGCCAGCTATAAAAAAGGCAACCTTAAAAATAAACACAAGTATAAAACCACAAGATAAAATTACAATACCAATTACATAAAAAAAACATAGTTAAGAAATACAATTAATGTAAAATAATTATAAATTATTTAAATACACACAGAAAACCTTAGTGCCCACAAATTTGGCTCTCTACAAGCCATTTTTTTGCATTCTTTTTGAATTAAGCTGATATTACTGGTTTAAAAACAATCTGACATGGAGATACGAATAGAAACTCATTTTATTTCTACTTGTTCATCTTATTTCTAGGTGTATGAAACCTAATAGAAAATAAAATGTTAAGCAGATTCTTTTACAGACTCGTTTTTACAGAAGAAAAATTCCATATATGCAGAAAATCTATGCAGTTATCTTCATCTGATTTTATTAAACTAAAGGCTTTAAAGTAGAGGTGCAATGATAACAGTTTGCTGGACGATCTTTAAATCGCTTTATCTGCCGATTCTGATCTTTGCAGTTACCATGTTTTCTTCTTCATGACCAGCTCTAGGAGGGGTCATAAGGTCACAATACATCTTTACAGTTCCACACTTCACAGAACACTGAATAATACTGGTGGGAAACAACATTTGTTTTAACTGCACTTATGGTGGTATTCTAAAGTCGGGCATACACTGTACGATTTTTTACCCTTTTTGCTTTTCTTGCATTCTTTGAAGAACCTTTATTCAAAAATCTGGTTTTGATTTCTTTTTTTTAACTGAAATACACAGAGGAAAAAACTAATCACTGACTAATATTCGTATCTGAACATCCTCAGCACATTCTACACTTAGTTAACTTAACTTTAACACAAATGTATCTGAGACATTTCTTATACTCTTTGCACAAAATAATCTCAACACATATTCATGTGCTTTCTAAGCAAAGCAATACTCACAAAGACGAATATCTTCCAACATTTAACTTCAACATGAACAATTTTTGTTTTTTTGTTGTTGTTTTTTTTCGGTATGATTCTCCAGTCATGCAAGAATTTTTTCGATTGGGCCGACTTTCAGCCTGATCGTACGTCCTGTGTCATGTAGTGTACAGGGAGTAGCGAGGGGCGATCAGCCTCTCAAGACCAGCTCGCGATCAGGAATCGTAAGGTCAGGAGACAATCAAACATGTTTGAAATTCAGTCGGCCGTCGTGAGGCGTTCATGGACAAATCCTGCTGTTGAAGCACAGCTACGAGCCGATTTACCAGAACCTCGAGAACTGTGCATGCGCAAACAAGGGAGTTCTTCACCAACCAGCGCCATCTCTCGGAGTCTGACAGGTTCAACCTCTATAACGTAATTGACATTTATGCACCCAATTTTGCACGCCACGTATCACTTTACTTGGATTTATCACTTTACTTGGATTTTCACTTTTATTGGATTTAGTAATTTCCCACTGGGATTATTAAAGTGTTTCTGATTCAGTTGTTTTTGGACGAGCAATGTGAGCAGGTAGATTGCATCAGAGTTTCGGGTCGCACAGTGTGAGAACATTTATTGTTAGCTGTGAACTATTAAACCCTGCGGTTACGTCGCTGTAGCTGCGCGCAACAATTGAAAATATCGCACAGTGTATGCCCGGCTTAATTCTAACAAAAGGACTCACAATAGGTGCAAATTGCTCTGTTTCTCCTATGTTTGAAAGTACATGCTGTTTAGTTTTTGTATGTTTAAACTAAACTTTGGTTGGTTTTAGAAATTCTATTTCAATCACCAATCAGAGCCAATTGGCAGAAAAGGGAAAGATTCCAAGCAATCGGTGATGAGTTCCTCCATCTATATTTTTTTTGTTGTTGTTTTTTTTTTTGTTAGCCATGAAATGAAAACCAAAAGCAGCCCTTATTAATCAGATAAACTGTCACACTGTAGAATCTGTCAACATATTCTCATTATCAGTTCGTATGAAATCCTACGAAAAGTTATGCACAGTATTTCGTATGTTTTGGACGTTTTTCCTCGAAAAAACAGATCAGTGCGCATGCGCAGCCAGACAGACGAAAAAAGCAGATCCGTGGACGGACGTAAAACTGGGAAAAACAGTGCAATAATTACTTCTTGATGGCTCTCTAGGTTGCTTGCTGTTTTGTATCTTAGGGTTAGGGTTAATTGTATGTTAAATTCTATGTTATTGAATGGTGCGTAAGATGCGCATGCACAAGGATATCTTGTCTCGAGGCAAGACATAAAAATACGACGAAATACCACGAAAAAAACGTCCAAAACATACGAAATTACGGTGCATAACTTTTCGTACGATTTCGTACGAACTGATAATGAGAATACACTGAATCTGTGGATGCACCAAACACCCAACGAAGATCACGAGTTACTCTGACACCATCTTTGTCATCTGATTTAAATGACTGTAAAGGAAGAGCATGACCAAACATCTGGCATTTTGAAACCTTAACTCATTTTTTGCAATTTCACTGAATGACAGCCCAGACAGCCTGACAGAAGACCGACAGTAGAAAGGGATGCTGCCTGGAAAATCTTTTTAAATGTTGATGCAGACAAAACAACATACAACCGAATGCTAAAATAGACGGCAGAGAAACATCAGCTGGTGTGTTCATAGCCAATACAGAGATCTAATGGGTTAATAATGGCCTCTGGCAGTGGAGGGCAATCAGTCCAGATTGATCTTTTAGATTGAGTTTAAGGGCCTCCTGTGAGGAGTGCAGAGAGCTTTTGGAAACGGGATACCTGAGCTTCATTATGCAGGATCCATTACAACATTCCCAGAAGTAAACATAACCAGGGCTTGGTCATTATGAAGGTCCTTCAGCCCATCAGAGAAATGTCCTACCAAAGAACCGGTTGATGTTTGTTTCCTCTTCTCTTGTGCTCCTCCAGTTAACTTATGTATATTTTATGCTGACTAATGATCAATGAAAGTTATTGACTGAGCTCTTCCTTCCTCTCCTGCAGAGTGGATTCAGGCCGTCCAGGCTGTCATGATCCTCTCCATCATCTTCAGCTGCCTGTCTCTCTTCCTCTTCTTCTGCCAGCTCTTCACTTTGCAGAAGGGCGGAAGATTCTTCCTCACCGGAGCTTTCCAGATCATTGCCAGTAAGTTCAGCCCAAACTAAACTTATTATAAACCGAATCTCCTCTCTGTAACGCTTCACTCACTTCTCACAGGGTTCCCGCGGGTCCTTAAAGTCTTAAAAGGCATTGAATTCTTCAAAATAAAACTAAGGCCTTAATTGGTATTAAAATGTCTTAAATCAGTCTTTCGTAGGTCTTAATTTTTTAGAACATCATAAATAGGATAATTTTTATTACAACTTATTTTTGTAATCTAAATAAAACATTAAAATTGACTTTTTTTTTTTTTTTTTAATAAAAAAAAAAAAACGACTCGCCATTATTGTTCAGTCCGGATAGCGGAACCAATAAAAGCGTTGTTGCAGCCGGGACATTTGGGAGATGCACAATTTACGTTTTTTATCTGGAAAATATGAGCAAGTGTAAATGTAACGAAAATTGTCTCCAGCCAAGAGTTTTCTCCATGGCTAAAACCAGGGAACAAACATGAGGCTCAGTTTATTTTGTGCAAGAAGCGATTCAAGCTCGGAACGATGGGAATTAAGGCAGTGGAGTTGCACATGCGAAGCACAAAATACAAAGCGTCAAAATGGAGTTACAGAGAAACAGCCGGTATTTCTCAGTTTAGTTCCACCCTTGTCTCTGCAACGCCTCCACTTATCACCAAATCAAACATACTAAGAAAACCATACAAAGAAAAATAGCTGCAAAAAAGACTTAGCACTGGTTATGTTGGGGCTTTAAAACTGATTTGTTTTGTTCCCTGCTAAAACAAAGTTTGTGAATTCAGTTAAATAATTGTTCAAATATATCTGTCATTTGTGTGTTTTTAGCTTTCTTCCTGTATGGGAAGCTTTTCAAAGTTTTAAACATTAGTGCAGTGGTTTATGTTAAAATAAACCTTTAAGGTTAAGTTGCCACAAGCAGGTTTTTCTTGTGTTTCTTGTGAATTTGGTCTTAAATTTTTATTTCAAGTGGCATTAAAAAGTCTTAAAGTTAACTTGCCTTATGCTGTAGGAACCCTGTCTCAGCAAACTTCAATGTACTGAAGTAGTTTTCTATTAGGATAATTCCCTAAATATGTAATCTAGTTTATGTCTATGGTTGTAATGTGATACATCAATAAAGTTTAAAGGGTCTTTATGTTTCTCCAATTCAGTGAAAGAATGTTGGTCTTTTTTTTTTTTAGTATAATTTTTCCCTAATAACAAAATTGCAAATATTCAACTCATCTGATCTGAGCGACTGTACAAAATTCAACCTACAGACACACAGAGAGTGAATGCTCACTTTACTGTTCTCTATTTATAGAGAATTGAATTAAGACAGAGTCAGTCTCTAATGGTTTTCATGCTCCACTCGTCTATTGTGCTTCAAACCCTTTGGAGAATAAGTGTCTCTACTGTGTTGGCTCTATGCAGCTCTGTTTGGAAAATGACAGTTTTTTTTTTTTCTGACATACCCGTGCAGAGCCAGGCAACCCGCTGCCCACTCAGCCAAACAGGAATGATGCTGGGAAAAGAGCCAGCTGGGCGAGTTAAAATGTCAGCTAGGTCCGGCAGTGTGGGGGTCTGACAAACAAGTCATGCCATGTTGGACAAGGGGTAGTGGGCGGAAAGCTGGGAAGGCTGGCAAAGGCCAGACGGGGGTTCGGTACGCATGAGAGGCCATGATGTAATATAAAGGGCAGACCGATCCAGCTTCAGAAACATTTTCCTGCTCACCAGCGCTGTTATTCTACGCTTCTTCTTCAGGTCTGTTCGTGATGAGCGGCGCCATCATCTACACGGTAATGAGTCCGGGTTGGGTGCCGAAGGATAACACGTTCGGCTACTCCTACATCCTGGCGTGGGTGGCCTTCCCTCTGGCCCTCATCAGCGGACTCATCTACGTCATCTTAAGGAAGCGAGAATGAACCGCCCCTCCATCCCAGTGCTCCCAGTAACCCTATGAAGATCCCTTCTGAAGTTGAAGTTGTGAAGCCAATATCAAAGAAGTAACACCAAAGAAAACCCAATTCAGAATACCAATACTGTCTGTTTAAAGATGTATATAGTATCTATGGTTAAAACCTATTTATAACACTTTTTACATGTATGTACATAGTTTTTGTGTTGCTCTGTTGATACTATGAGCTTTGTTTTAGCTGAAAAATGCCTGTCTTTGTTTATAAGTATGATATTATAAAAAGCTGTTTTATTTTGCCATTTGGTTTGCATAACTGCCAAAAATTTAGAGTAAGCAAAAAAACTTGTCATATTAACTATATGCATGTTTAGAAATATGAGAGACTAATTATAGAGTTAACATCTTAGAGTGTAGCATAGCTTTTTCTGTTTCCCAGTTTGCAAGTCATTTAGTGTTTTTTTTTATTTTTTTTCTTGTTTTAAACGAAAATATGGTGCTATATAATTATCATTCCTTTTACTGATAGCAATTATACAAAACGCAGTTATTTTGTTTGTATTCAGTTTGAAATTATTCTAGAAAAATGAAAGAGAGGAACACTTTGCAGTGCCTGAATTTTATTTATTTTCATTTTTTTGCCAGCATCCCTTAGTACTCATCAGTTACTGTAAATGGTAGATGTTTAAGATTGAGGGTAAAAGTCACCCGGAGGCCAACACTGACGTATTGCTTTGCAAGTAACAAATCACAGAGAATTATATTCATTTTAAACCTTGTTTGCTTTCAGTTGGATGTTTTTAGACAGCTTTTTTTAAGTATGAGGAAGCCAAAAAGCCTCAAAAGAAATATTTTATAGAAAATAACAAATGAGGGCTTTGTCTCCTGCAGAAAACAAAACAAACCAAAGAAAATGTTGAAGGAATATTTGAAGTATAATCCCTATATTTGAGGAAATAGAGCTGCAGTGATGATATAACTGTTAGTCTGTTGCAGCAGTTTCTTCTGTCAGGATGTAAAGGTTTTGCTTTCTACACTATAAACATTTTTTTGTGTGTTGTGCATACATCTACGTATGACTGTAGCTTAAAATCTCCCCTCAATCATGCACCTCTCCATATATATTATCTGGTACTGTGTTCTCCACCGTTAGAAGGGACAGACTTCCAGTTCAGTGGTGTCTCATCTTTAGCCTCTTTGCGGACGACAGCAAGTCGTTGTTTATATGCTTTAAGATCTCTCTCCTGCGTGCACGCAGGCTTAGTCCACTGCAACACTCGTCTGCTTATGCTTGTGGTTACAAATACTGAACGTGACGGGCGTCACCTGCACTGGGGCCAAGGCACAGCGAAATGCCAGTTACTCAGAACATGCAGCTCATGTTTCAGTGTGGATGTCTCCCAGGACATCAGATACAAGAGGACTTGTTTAACCACCAGTCCTTCACTTCTCTCCTTTTAGGTTCAAGCATTAACTCCGAAGCTTATTGCTACTTGACTGTGGCCTTGGGTTCAGTTAGAAGAGAATTCCTCTGATGAAAACTGCCCTTATAGCCGTTGTGAAGCCAAAGCCTTCAGTTGTTAATGCTTTGTTTACATCTAAACTTTAGAACGCATCTCAAGCTACTTCAATTTTAGCCATTAAAGAATGTTTATTAAAACCTAAATGGGTTTGTTTTATTTTTTACTTTCCTCACACACATATACACATTTATACACATTTTAATTCCGTGCAGACAGATTTCAACAGTTTGTTTTCTTTAATTTTTAAATTAGAACATCGCCATTTTAAAATGATCTTTAAGGATCATTTTAAAATGGTAGTTCTAAGGTAAACAGAGATGAGGAACTCTGATGGCTTCAGCTTGTAAGGAACAGCCCACTGTGAGGGAAGGTGAACCATATAAGGATATTGAGGGTTTGTCCTATACGTGTCCTGTACTTGTCTTATATTACTTTACCAGATTTATGTCAAGATGTGTGAGAGAAAAAAAATGAAACAGAGGAAACAGAGGACGGTTCAACAGAGCCATAGCTCTGTTGAACCGTCCATTCCACCTGCTCTTAGCAGCAATGATTTTATGGGATTCTTTATAAATAAGATTGATCTTATTAAAAATAAGATCATAAGCACTCCTCTATCCGTGATTATACCTGAGGTAGTCATGGAATCTGAACCGGGTTTAGACTGCTTTGATCCAGTTGAACTTTCTGAATTAGCAAAATTATTGTCTTCATCTAAGCCTTCAACTTGTATGTTAGATCCATTTCCAACCAGGTTATTTAAGGAGGTATTCCCTTTGATCTCCTCCTCCATTTTAGATGTGATTAATCTATCTCTGTTACAGGGATATGTACCTAAAGCTTTTAAGGTTGCTGTAATTAAACCTCTGCTTAAGAAACCGTTTCTTGACCCAGATGACTTGGTCAATTATAGACCTATATCCAATCTTCCTTTCTTATCCAAAATTCTTGAGAAAGTAGTTGCCAAACAAGTGTGCGGTCACTTACACCATAATGAACTTTTTGAAGAGTTTCAGTCTGGCTTTAGAGCTCATCATAGCACTGAAACAGCTCTGGTGAAAGTCACTAATGATATTCTCATGGCCTCAGATAATGGACTTGTATCTGTGCTCGTCCTGTTGGATCTTAGTGCTGCATTTGATACAGTTGACCATAATATTCTTTTAGAAAGACTTGAATATTTTGTTGGAATTAAAGGAACAGCTCTAGACTGGTTTAAATCTTATCTATCTGATCGAATTCAGTTTGTTCATGTTAATGATAGATCTTCAACACGCTCAAAGGTTACCTGTGGAGTACCACAGGGATCAGTGCTAGGACCAATTCTCTTTACTTTATACATGCTCCCAATTGGTAGAGTTATTAGACAGCATGGGATTAATTTCCACTGTTATGCTGATGATACCCAGCTATATCTGTCTATAAATCCAGATGAAGCTAACCCATTACATAGATTACAAGCATGTCTTGAAGACATAAAAACCTGGATGACTCTTAACTTTCTGCTCCTGAATGCAGACAAAACAGAAGTTATAGTCTTTGGACCAGAGTCTCTGAAAAAGAAACTGATTAGCCAGTCACTTCATTTGGATGGGATTAAACTGATTTCAGATAATAAAGTAAAAAATCTTGGTGTTATTTTTGATCAGGACCTGTCATTTAAATCCCATATCAAAGAGGTTTCTAGAATTTCCTTCTTTCATCTGAGGAACATTGCAAAAATTAGAAATATCCTGTCCAGGGGTGATGCTGAGAAACTAGTCCATGCATTTGTTACTTCAAGGCTGGACTATTGTAATTCTTTACTATCAGGAAGTCCACAAACTGTAGATAAAAGCCTTCAGCTGATCCAAAATGCTGCAGCAAGAGTTCTAATGAAAATTAAAAAGAGAGATCATATCTCGCCTATCCTGGCTTCTCTACATTGGCTTCCTGTTAAATCAAGAATAGAATTTAAAATCCTCCTTCTCACATATAAAGCCTTAAATGGCCAAGCTCCATCTGATATCAGAGATCTGATTGTTCCTTATGTTCCTAACAGAGCACTTCGCTCTCAATCTGCAGGTTTACTAGTGGTTCCTAGAATTTCTAAAAGTAGAATGGGAGGCAGATCTTTTAGTTATCAGGCTCCTCTCCTGTGGAACCAACTACCAGTTTTAGTCCGTGAGGCAGACACCCTGTCTACTTTTAAGGCTAGGCTTAAAACTTTCCTTTTTGATAAAGCTTATAGTTAGGGTGGCTCAGGTTATCCTGAGCTATCTCTATAGTTATGCTGCTATAGGCTTAGACTTTTGGAGGACATAGGGACCCCCATTTCATCATTCTGCTTCATTCTCTCTCTGTTCCCCTATTCTGAAGAATCTGTTAGTTCAATCTCTAACCTTCTGCTCTCTCTGCTTTTCCTCAAAGTAGCTTTGCCTCGTCTGTTCCTGTTTGGCTGTGACGTCATCCTGGAAAGAAACATCAGCTGTGCTGCTTCTATCAACACCCTTGTTTATAGATGTTGGAGATCGGCCTGTTTTCCAGTGTGGTCCTGTTTCTCTGACCGTGACTGAGTGGATGTGCTCTCTTCGTCCTCTGGCATGGGAGCTGCCTTGGAGCTCGTCTGCCTGGCTGTGTGTTTCCTGGACGGGGCCGCCTTTTACAGCTGCTTTTTGTATCTCTGCTTCTGTCTCCTTGAACCCCAGTCGGCCTCGGCAGATGGCCGCTCACACTGAGCCTGGTTCTGCTGGAGGTTTCTTCCTGTTAAAAGGGAGTTTTTCCTCTCCACTGTCGCTACAAGCATGCTTAGTGTGGGGGATTGTATTTGAGTCAATGAGTCAATGCAATCAACTGGTTTTCCTTAGATAGAAAACTTTGTATCGATTTGACTGTATGATCTGGTTGAACTGTAAAGTGCCTTGAGATGACATGTGTTGTGAATTTGGCGCTATATAAATAAACTGAATTGAATTGAATTGAAATTGAAAGACAAGTGTTTTTTGTTGTTTTTTTGAAAATCAAGGAAGAATTGAGAGGCAAAAAAGGAAAAAGAATCAGTTTCTTTTATTTAATAAATCTTTTATTTCAATTTAAGATTATTTACAATGTGTTGTAGGCCATGATGCTTAAGTAAATAACTCCCTCCAACAACATCACTGCAAAAAAATGAAATCTAAAGTAATTTCTTCTTAAAATAAGTGCATTTTTTCCTGAATTAAGGATTAAAGTGAGACATTTTGCCAATGGAACAAGACAATTTACACTTAAAATAAGAAAAGACAATTGCTTTGTCTTATTTCAAGTGCATATTCTCTAATTATCTTATTTTAAGAGTAAAAATACTCTTTCCAATGGCAAAATATCTTATTTACCTACTTAGAATAAGGATTAATACACTTAATTTAAGAAATTTTGACTTATTTCTAGATCGTTTTTGCAGTGCAAGCAGGAATTCAAAGCAGGACGTTCCTGCTCATTGCTCTTGGAGTTCACAAGCCTAATGTCAAGGAAAGTTTACATCTAGACATTCATTTTAACCAATCTAGTAACAGCTGAATCATAAGACCTGCAGTGGCGTCTCATTTACTGTAAAATGCTACCATCTAGTGGCGACTTTAAGTAATGACAGTGACAGGCACAATGCCTCCATCTAGTGACGACTTAAGGTAACAACAGTGACAAAATTACACCATTTGTAACAAACGCTGCCTCTGATAAAACATTGTCACTACTTGAGAGGTGAGTGGAAATCCCAGACTTTTGGGTGTGGAAGGTTATATGATTCTTAGTCAAGTATGTTAAAGCTCATTAACTCTGTATATGATCATTAAATCCTTGTCAATGAGCAATTCTCTGGCATTAGTATGCACACATGCAACTGAGATGGGCGATTTCTCTTTCTTGTCTGCTGGCATTAGTCAACCTAATGAAGGCACCACCTCCAGACCCATTACAAAGGCGCTCATGGCACAACGCTCCATTAGTGACAAAGGCTGAAGATAGATTAGGCTTCTGCTTTTGAGAAATTGTTAAAAGATGCCGACAAAGCACCATAAGCTCTGCATGTAACAAAGAACATTTGAGCTGCAAAAAGTTATGATTGAAAGTGGTCTGCATGCTTTATCAGATTTTCATCAGAGGTACTTTGGATATAAAAGTGATAACAAACTGCAGCTGAAGTCAGCTGCTAATTAAGAATTTAAATGAAAACTGTTAATTGTCTCCTTATCTAGCATCACAGTTGTTCTACTCAGAGGTGGAAAGAGTACAAAAAATGGTAATTGAGTAAAAGTATCTTTACTCTGCCTAAATTCTACTCAGAGTAAAAGTAAAATTACCCATCTCAAAATTTACTCAAGTAAAAGTACAAAATGACTTCATTTAAAATGTAATTTAAGTAAAAGTTACTTAGTTACTTTCAGTTATTTAATGCAAAAAAGGATGAGTCGTGCATCGAATTGAGCACAAGGTGTTTTAATCAATTTCAGGGCGTATTTCAGTGGACATCCACACTTGCAAAAGATCAGCTGGGCTAAAGAACATACTTCCTCAATGCATCTATCTGTTGTTTGCCAACCGCCAAAAATATCAAAGAAGAAGAACATACTTCCTCACAGCACAAGGACAGTCACAACCTAAACCATAAAATTCAAGCAATTTTCAATCCTAATGTCCAACAGACACCATGATAGGAATAAAGAAATTTAAACTACTTTTTAAACTATTCCAAATGCACACAAAATGAATTGCCCAAAAGATACCAGAAATCAAACTAAAATGCAACAGGATGCCACTGTTATTAAATAAAATGCCGCATGATCCCACTTTTCACAATAAAACAAAAATCAAAAAGGATTCAACAATTTAAAAGAAAGTGCTCACAGGATATAACTTCAAAATACAGTGTGCCACAAAACTGCCCCAAATTTACAACTGTATACTGGTAAAGCTCTTGTTCAATTTCAGCGGGAAATGATTTTCAAAGTTTTTTGCTGTAAGTCTTGCTCTCTTTGCTGCAAAGAGCAACCTGGGTGAACTAAAAAGCCTCTCGCAGGCAGCTGAAGCTGGAAGGCCTGTGTTGAGTTTCAGAGATAGCTTCTTAAAGGAATAGTACACCCAAAACATGATTAGCCTTCATTTTCTACTCACCCCCATGCTGAAC